CCCCCCCCCGTCTTGGTTTCACTCCTCCGTTGCATGGCGGCCGGTACTTTTTTCTTTTTATGAAAGTTGTCATTCTTTACAGTTGTCCAGGAGTACTTTTTTCCCCTGTTGGTTCTGGCGCATAATTTTTTTTGTTTGTGCGTAATTCATTGGTTGTTGCTCTAATAAAGAGACTTGTTTTCGCCTTTGTTATCTGGAGAGCCCGTAACATTACCGGTCGAACTATTTACTGTACGCTATCAATTTATCTTCGACTTCGAAACAGGTATAGTCTAATTAGTGGGCAGGGTCGTTGAAGTGTCGTTCAATCTCTCAGGAAATAGAATTTACTACAGTGATCATTGGATCCTAGAAGTAGAGGAAAACTGAAAATCTAACCGAGTTCAAGGCACTGCACATCAGATTCCAAACGTGGAAAAAGAATCTGCTGTCGTATAGACAATGATCCAGGTGGAAAATATGGTCGTTGAGGTAAAAACATAGCATTAGTGTCAGTAAAATTTCTGATGATTGTGCCTGAGCAAAAGATATTAATCGATCAACTCTCACTAAAACGTACATACACTCAATGTTCCTTACCACTGCATGGCTCCCACAGTTTCTTCAGAACTCTCAGCAATGACGTCTTTCCAGCACCACTGCTACCGGTGATCAGAAGAGTTTTGTGTTTGGGAAGCCGAAGATTGAGATCTGGTAAGGGCATAGTTATGAGGTCATGTAAAAAACAAAGGGGTGTCTTGAGGTATCCAAGCGCTACAGGCGAGGTAACGTCAGGAACGACAGGAAAGTATCACTCAACATGGAAAAATGAACAAGCGTGGCCGAGTGGTGAGGATTGTTCATGAAAGCCAAGGGTTTGGTTCCTGCAGTGGTCAAGCTGTGACTACAGAAGCTGCAAAAGATGCCGATATCGGCCCCAGGTATAGTTTGACACATCGGTTGATGGAGATTACAGTAAAAAAAAACGACTTTCCAACAAAAGGGGTTAGGGCGAACGCACCCAATCATAGGACGACTACTGTCCTGCCCAAACAGTCGAGCATACCCAAAAATCGGTAAATTAATGACTTCCAGAAGAGCTATGGGGTTCATCAACAGCACCATTTCCTGCGAATCGGTTCTACAATCGGTCTTGGTATTTACACCCTTCCTAAGTGCCAAACTTGGAAGCTGCCTGGAAAGTGGGCACTTTTCATATTCATTGTCCGGTACATTTTTTCTGTGATAAGTTGAATGTTCTCCCAGGGCCAAAGTCAGAACGGGAGGTCATGAATAGCATGAGACATGGAAAGAAAATCGTAAAACAGTTTGTGGAATTCCCATGGTTAGCTAGGTATGTAGTAAGACGAACCTTCAGTAATTAAATGATGAGGGGCATTCGACACAGAGAAGGATAATTTTTCAGTCACCAGAAGATCTGGAGATTCATCGCCGTTGCCACAGCTCCAAAAGCTTGTTTCCTCCTTGTGATTGTTTTCCAAGTAGCGGACCAATTCTGCTACTCTGAAATGAAACCAAAAGTTTGTTTTTGAGTGAGTTTATGCTTCTGCTCATCGTTCCGAACTAGATCACGCTTCAACTTCTCCGCCAAAGATATCGAGGGATCTGAATTTTTTGAAATTTTGACTGCCAAATTGTACCAAAACCAAAGAAAATCGCTTCATTCTAACTACTATGTTTATCTGGAGAGGCAGGGATTATTTTCAGCGCTGTTTTCAATATCTGTTGCAGGGTCAGCCTGTAAGGCCAGTATCAGAAACCCTCCAAGTAGAACATAGGGCCAGAAAAAAAGTAGGAACCCGCATGCAACAACGTGTACAGTGCTTGTCCTCACCTTTGCGAATATCCTGCCATTTCTCCTATATTCAAGGCTAAATCGGTCAATCGAGTAAAGCTGTTTATCAGGTAGATGAAGTAGAACGCATTCTGAACAGATTTATCTTTTCCAGAGTTGCAGTTGAATGAGTTCAAAAAGTTTCCACAAACGACCCACATTACTGATCTGTTTACTTAGTGTGGCAGGATCCATATTGTCATAGCTGTGGAAAATAAATATAGGAAACACTTGAATAACATAACTGAGAACGCCTCCATAGTAGTCGAAAAAGTTTTGTAGAACTGTAAAAAAATACTGATTTGTAATATAGAATCGGCTGGATGACTTACTGACCATTTCATTCAATTATTTATTTGTTGACACTCTGAGCTATAACTCACGAAACAAGGAGGGTTATAAAAGGTATGATAGTAAGGCCACAGGCGAATTGCGTCCTGTGGACTGCTTTATATGTAGGAATAGAATTTGAGTCCCTTATATGACTGTTTTCCAGTTCGTATCAGTTCTTCCTTGAGATCAATTCAATAGCGGTCCAGAACAATGTCCAGAGCTTCTTTAAAGTGGTGTAGTGGCAAGTAGCGCACAATCACTCACACATGGTCATGGGTTCGAATCTCTAATCCGTATTCGCCCAAGCCAACAAAGTCTTCCATCCCTCCGGGGTCGGTGAATTGGTACCAGACTCGTCTGGGAGGATAGAAACAATGATTTGTACATCGGCTGGCCACCGCAAGTCATTGTTCAGGTTAGATATTGCTTACAATTAGGATTAATGCCCGAAGGCTCCATTCTTCTTGTTTATGTCCTTTCGTTCAGAACTTCTTTGCGTTTCAAACAGTGAAATCCTATCCATCAAAACGCGAGGAAGCCGCAAAGAAGCGGGCTAAAATCCAATCCCAAACCAATGTCCTCGTGCGACTTTCTCATATCAGTTATTGCGGAAAATGTGATGGTGCGCTAGAGCCTGCACTCAATGTCTGCGATAACTCAACTTCATACCATGGCCGTTTGCTCCAGTTGCTCGAGGGTACTGCAACGCCTTCTCGAAGCTGTTTATTTTCTATTCCGAATGCCCCAGATCAAAAACAAGCATGTGAGAACAACTTTCATAAATGATAAATCATAGGATGGTGGAAAGCTCAGCTCGAATACGGTATAGGATCTACATCCAAGCATTTTTATTGAATCAGCTTTTAGCAGGTGTAAAGCTATCCACTTTTGGGGATAATTAGGGTTAGGATCGGGAACCCCAACGAGAACTGGAACTAAAGTCATATTCGAACTCAGCACATTCTGCTTTTTTCGGGTGTGGTGCGTTAGGAACGAAATGATCGCGTCGCGGTGAGTGGGGCGTCGCGCGCGAAGGAATGTAGCAGGTGCAGCAGTAGGTGAGAAATACAAGAACAAAAGTACTAATAGTAGAATTATGCATAAAAATGATCGCATATCGATTGAGCTGTATGAAGAACACTAGAGCTGTAATAACGGCGAATGAGTGGTCCGCGACAGCCGCGTGCGGCGAATCGATTACCAAAAATCGTTCCTAACGCCCGTCTCCCGCTTTTTTCGATATAAGCCTCATCCCCGCACTGAATTTTTTCAGAAATTCTCTGATTCCATGAGATTTAATATAAAATTAAAGTTACATTGAGCTGGATATTTCCATAGAGTTGCAGTCAATTGCATTTTCAGAAGAGACGTGAAGAAACGATCACTTTCGTGCATGTCAAACTGAGCTGCATTGTAGAAAGCCGATTCTTCCGCATTGTTTCGAACGGATACATGCTTGTACCTAAAAGTCATTCAACAAGTAGACTGTTGGATATCCTTCGGTTGGATTGATACGGCAATGTGTTCTTCGCACTGGCCTTAATAAGAGTCGGCAAAAGCTGGTGATTTTCGAACACCTGTGGCCATGTATGCCATGGCAATGTTTTCCACCAAACTAAGTTGAAACGGACAAGCTGGCTGATGAGTCGATTACGATAGTCTAGGTACATGTGTAGTCATTCTATTAAGGAATGGGTAAACTCATAGCTCTTTTAGTCGGGGCGGATACTGGGAAAATTTTTAGGGTAGTTCCCAGAAGACAAGGATGAAAAGACACGCGCCGAGGGATGGGCCAACCCCGAGGCGCAATTCATCCCGCTCAACATACCTGAAGTCACCCTCGGCTCTTTCGACTCTTGCTGT